CTAAGTCACAGTCCGCCTGGAAGCATTTGCGGTGGACGATGGAGGGGCCAGGCTCGTACTCCTGCTTGCTGATCCACATCTGCTGGAAGGTGGACGGCGAGGCCAGGATGGAGCCACCGATCCACATGGAGTACTTGTGCTCGGGAGGATCAATGATCTTGATCTTCATCGCGCTGGGTGCCAGGGCAGTGATCTCCTTCTGCATCCTGTCAGCGATGCCAGGGTACATGGTGGTACCGCCAGACAGCACTGTGTTGGCATACAGGTCTTTGCGGATGTCCATGTCACATTTCATGATGGAGTTAAAGGTAGTTTTGTGGATGCCACAAGATTCCATGCCCAGGAAAGAAGGCTGGAAGAGTGCCTCAGGGCAGCGGAACCGCTCGTTGCCGATGGTGATGACCTGACCATTGGGCAGCTCATAGCTCTTCTCCAGGGAGGAGCTGGAGGCTGCCATGGCCATCTCCTGCTCCAAGTCTAGGGTGACATAGCACAGCTTCTCCTTGATGTCACGCGTGATTTCCCGCTCTGCTGTGGCGGTGAAGCTGTAGGCACGCTCGGTGAGGATCTTCATGAGGTACTTAGTCAGGTCCCGGCCAGCCAGGTCCAGACGCAGGATGACGTGGGGGAGGGCATACCCCTCACAGATGGGCACAGTGTGGGTGACCCTGTCACTGGAGTCCATCACGATGCCAGTGGTACAGCCAGAGGCGTACAAGGAAAGCACGTCCTGGATGGCCACATACATGGCTGGGGTGTTGAAGGTCTCAAAACATGATCTGGGTCATCTTCTCACGGTTGGCCTTGGGGTTCAAGGGGGCCTCAGTAAGCAGCATGGAGTGCTCCTCAGGAGCCACATGCAGCTCGTTGTAGAAATTGTGGTGGCAGATCTTCTCCATGTCGTCCCAGTTGATGACAATGCCATGCTCGATGGGGTACTTCAGGGTCAGGATGCCTCTCTTGCTCTGGGCCTCATCACCCACGTAGGAGTCCTTCTGACCCATGCCTACCATCACGCCCTGGTGCCTGGGGCGCCCCACGATGGCGGGGAAGACTGCCGGGGGAGCATCATCGCCCGAGAAGCTGGCCTTGCACATGCCGGAGCCGTTGTCAACAACAAGTGCAGTGATATCATCCATGGTGAGCTGGCGGCCGGTGTGGATGGGCCACGGAACAGCAAGGGCGAGGCTCTGTGCTCGAAGGGCAGACACGGTCTCCGTGGTCTTTTTTTTTTTTTGAATTTTTTTTTTCTTTTTTTTAAGGGGAGGGGAGGGGAGGAGAAGGAGGGGATGGGCTTTTGTCTTTTGAGTCAAGGTCTTACTCTGTCACCCAGGCTGAGGTCAAATGGCATGATCACAGCTCACTGCAGCCTCAACCTCCCAGGCTCAATTGATCTTCCACCTCAGCCTCCCAAATAGTCGGGACTACAGGCACACACCACCATGCCCAGCTAATTTTCAAGTTTTTTTGTAGGGGTTTTCACTATGTTGCCCAGGCTGGTCTTGACCTCCTGGGCTCAAACGATCTGCCAGCCTCTGCCTCCCAAAGTGTTGGGATTACAAGCATGAACCACTGTGCCTGGTCCCATCTCTACTTCTAAAATAAAATGTAAACATTTTAAAAGTAAGGATTTTTGCATCTCCCAATGACTGCTAACATCACAAAAAGAGAGCTAGACAATATGTGCCTCTTGGTAGAATACAGTATCTCTAAGCATCTAAATCCAATTACCAAAATACAGGAAATACAGAGGATAAAGTAATGTGTTAAACTACAATACAGAGTACTATGCAGTTGTAAAATAAGAAGCTCTTTATGGGAAAATATGGAACAATCTCATATATATATATATGAGCATGATCTCAGCTCACTGCAACCTCTGCCTCCCATGCTCAGGTGATCCTCCTACCTCAGCCTTCCCAATAGCCGGGACGATAGGCACATGCCACCACACCTGTCTAATTTTTGGATTCTTAGTAGAGACAGGGTTTTACCATGTTGCCCAGGCCAGTCTCCAGCTCCTAAGCTCAAGCGATCTGCCTGCCTCGTCCTCCCAAAGTGCTGGGATTTCAGGCATGAGCCACTGTGCTCGGCCTCCAAGATATATTACTAAGTGAGAAAAGCAAGGGGGCAGAATAGTATATAATACAATCATTTATGTAAAAAAAGAAAAAAGATTTCCTTATGAAACTAGAATTATTGGAAGGAACACTGGGTACCTGGAAGGCACTGGTGGGAAGAAACTTTTCTCTATATAACCTTTTTTGCTTTTGAATTTTGAATAACGTGAATGTATTACCTTCAAAAAAGTGAAACAAGATTAAACAGAGGCTGGGCGTGGTGGCTCACGCCTGTAATTCAAGCACTTTGGAAGCCAAGGTGGGCGGATCACCTGAGGTCGGGAGTTCAAGACCAGCCCAACCAACATGGTGAAACCCCGTCTTAAAAAAAAAAAGATTAAACAGAAAAGCATTTACAGAATTGCCCACCTGATCCAGGCACCTTGAGTCTGCTCACTGTAAACTACCATGACCTCTACACAGAGACAGCTTTTACCTTATGTGTTTACAATGAAAAAAGGATCCTATGAAATAGGTTCTGATAATGGAAAACCCTTCACTCACTGAACAAATCATTATAATTTTTTGAGACGGAGTCTCACTCTGTTGCCCAGGCTGTGGGGTGATCTTGGCTCACTGCAACCTCTGCCTCCCGGGTTCAAACGATTCTTCTGCCTCAGTCTCCTGAGTAGCGCATGCCACCACACCAAGCTAATTTTTGTATTTTTAGTAGAGATGGAGTTTCACCATATTGGCCAAGCTGATCTAAAACTCCTGACCTAGTGATCCACCCTTCTCAGCCCCCCAGAGTGCGAGGATTATACGCTTCAGCCACTGCACCCGGCCAACAAATGTTTACCTAACCCCTGCTATGTACCAGCACTGTGCTGGCTACTGAGGACTCAGAAACGAAAAGTATGCCCACTGCTCCCAAAGGAGCTTACAGTCTAGTAGGAAGAGCTACATAAATAGAAAACTACCACTTAACATGGAAATTGCTATAAACTTGATGATTTATTGAGTGACAATGAGATATAAAGGATTGAGTGCCTGCATCTGACTAAACACTGGGAAAGTCTTCACCAAAGAGATGTCTTCTGTATCAACTCTTGAAAGGAGGAATGAAAGTTTGCCCCGATGGTTGGGCGCATGGCTCACTCCTGTAATCCCAACACTGGGAGGCTGAGGCAGGCAGATCACTTGAGATCAGGAGTTAGAGACCAACCTGGCCAACATGGTAAAACCTGGCCAACATGGCGAAACCCCATCTCTACTAAAAATACAAAAATTAGCTGGCATGGTGGCATGCCTCTAGTTCCAGCTATTCAGGAGGCTGAGGCAGGAGGATCACTTGAACCTGGGAGGTCGAGGTTGCAGTGAGCGGAGATCACATCACTGCACTCCACCGTGGGCAACAGAGTGAGGCTCTGTCTCAAAAAAAAAAAAAAGGACTGGGTGCAGTGGTTCACGGCTGTAATCCAGCACTTTTGGGAGGCTGAGGTGGGCAAATCACTTGAGGTCAGGAGTTCAAGACCAGCCTGGCCAACATGGTGAAACCCCATCTCTACTAAAAATACAAAAATTAGCCATGCATATTGGTGCATGCCTGTAATCCCAGCTACTCGTGAGGCTGAGGGAGGGGAATCTCTTGAACCCAAGAGGCATAGGTCACAGCAAGCCGAGATTGCACCACTGCACTCCAGCCTGGGAGACAGAGTGAGACTCCATCTCAAAAAAATAAATAAAAATAATAAAAAAGAAAGTTTGCCAGGACATCTGGAGAAGAAATGGAGATGAGAATTCCAGATACGGAGAATAGGATGTGCAAAGGCACAGGTAAGAAACAAGGCTGGCTGTGTGAAAAGTACAGGTAGGAACCAGATCTTGAAGGGCTTTGATGTTCTTACTGTGGAGTTTGGATTTTTTCCTGTAGATAGAGGAACCACTAAGTATTTAAGCAGTGGAGTAACAGGATTAGGTTTCTGCTTTAGAAAGGTAATCCTGGTACTCACGCCTATAATTCCAGCACTGGGAGGCCGAGGTGGGCAGAGCACCTGAAACCAGGAGTTTGAGAGCAGCCTGGCCAGCATGGCGAGACCCCATCTCTACTAAAAATGCAGAAATCAGCCAGACTCAGTGGCAGACTCCTGTAATCCCAGTTACTCAGGAGGCTGAGGCAGGAGAATCATTTGAACCCAGGAGGTAGAGGTTGCAGTAAGCCAAGATTGTGCCACTGCATTCCCCACCTGGGTGACAGAGTGAGACTCTGACTCAAAAAAAGAAAGAAAGAAAGAAAGAAGAAAGATAATCCTAGCAGTTTTGTAGAGAATCTAGAGGCAGTTTAGTGTGAAAGGTGGAAAACAGGAAACTACTATTAATAGTTTAGGTTAGAGATGATACCCAGGTCTCAACTACAGCGGGATAGTGGAAAAGGACAGCAGGGTATAGTTTTGAAAACTAAAGTAGATGACTTGTACAGCTCTTAGTAAGAGAGGTCAGGGATACATGCAAAATCTAGGATGGACTGGGCCTAGTGGCTCATGCCTGTAATCCTAGCACTTTGGGAGGCCGAAGTGGGAGGACTGCTTGAGGCCAGGAATTCAAGACCAGCATGGGCAACATCGCGAAACTGCATCTCTACAAAAAAATTTGTTAGGTGAGGTGGTGTGCACCTGTGGTCCTAGCTACTCCAGAGGGTGTGAGGTGGGAGGATCAGCCTGGACAACACAGCAAGACCTTCTCTCTACTAAAAATTTAAAAATAATTTTAAAATTTAGCCAGTAGTAGTGAGAGCCTGTAGTCTCAACTACTCAGGTGGGAGGATCACTTGAACCAAGGAGCTTGAGTGTAGTGAGCTATGATCCTGCTACTGCACTTCAACATGGACAACAAAGAGAGACTCTGTCTCAAAAAATACAATACAATACAGGGCCGGGCGCGGTGGCTCAAGCCTGTAATCCCAGCACTTTGGGAGGCCGAGGCGGGTGGATCACGAGGTCAAGAGATCGAGACCATCCTGGTCAACATGGTGAAACCCCGTCTCTACTAAAAATACAAAAAATTAGCTGGGCATGGTGGCGCGTGCCTGTAATCCCAGCTACTCAGGAGGCTGAGGCAGGAGAATTGCCTGAACCCAGGAGGCGGAGGTTGCGGTGAGCCGAGATCGCGCCATTGCACTCCAGCCTGGGTAACAAGAGCGAAACTCCATCTCAAAAAAAAAAAAAAAAAAAAAAAAAAAAAAAAAAAAAAAAAAAAAAAAAAAAAAAAAAAAAATACAATACAATACAATACAATAAAGCCAGGGTAATAAGTAAGATTGTCTGGCCCTAGAACACTGGTTAAAGGGTAAGATGGCCAGACTCAGAAATCTGGGGAATGTCAAAGTGCAGAGGATGGAGAGTGCAAGATAAACTCACTGGGGCCGGGCGCGGTGGCTCATGCCTGTAATCCTAGCACTTTGGGAGGCCGAGGTGGGTGGATCACCTGAGGTCAGGAGTTCAAGACCAGCCTGGCTATCATGGTGAAACCCCATCTTTAAAAAAAAAAAGATAATCTCACTGGCGTGAATGGTTTATGTCTCAGAGGTAGGAAAAATGACAGAATGGTGTATTGCAAAGCAAAGGAGAGTTTCAAGATCCAGGGCATGACCAAGAATGGCAGTGTCATAGAGAGGTCAGGTTACATAAAGACTAAATGGTGAAAAGTAGCCACAACTCTGAACTGGCGGCCTTTACCTGAGCAGTTTCCTAGAGGGGGTAGAAATCAGATGCTGTGGGATACAGAATAAAAGGGAAGCAAACAAGTAGAGATAGTGGGTGAGGATCACTAACATTTGCACATTTAATATGTGCAGTCTTATTCAGAAATGACCCTGATGGTGGTTAATATTAACAGTGTGTGATTTACCTAAGCAAGGACTGTTATCATAAGCTGCGAGGCTGTGTGTAGGAAAAAGTTAATTGTCTCATGGGTGAACCTGGCTAACTACTCAGCTTCCCTTAACCCATTCATGCTGGAGGTTGCAAATTTTTTGTGTCAAAAAATCACACCTTGGTGATGACCTTGACCAGCACAATATACATAACTCCCACAACCTTAGCATTCCAATAATGGAGCACTAGGCAATGAACACTGCTGTTCTCATCAAGTGTTTGGTAACTTCCAGTAGGTGTCTGAAAAAGCCTCTTAAAAATCCATAAGGCATAGGCCATGTGTGGTGGCTCACACCTGTAATCCCCACTTTGGGAGGCTGAGGCAGGTGGATCACCTGAGGTCAGGAATTCCAGACCAACCTGGCCAACTTGGTGAAACCCTGTCTCTACTAAAAATACAAAAATTAGGTCGGCAATGCCAAGGCGCTTCTGCATCTGTGAGCTGAGCATTCTTGAGGTCATCTGAACCTTCTGACTGAGAAAATATGGTCAACGTCTTGAAAGGAGTGCTTATAGAATGTGATCCTGCCATGAAGCAGTTTATTCTGTATTTGGATGAGTCCAATGCCCTGGGGAAGATGTTCATCATTCAAGACATTGATGACACTCACATCATTGTAATAGCAGAATTGGTTAATGTCCGCCAGGAGCAAGTGGGTGAATTAATAGACCAAAAATGCTTGATTTTCAGCCTTGAGGGGAAAAAAATGGACCAAAAATGCTTTTTTCCTTACCCAGAAATGAAAATACTTAATATGGACAATTTAGTAATTATTAGCAGCAAATGTGAAAGACTTGCCACTCAATACCTTAGGTGACTGATTAGACATAGAGGGTTGTTTTAGGAGCATGCCACAGGAAAGACCAAGGGATCGTTTGTTCAGAAAAAAAAAAAACCCTGAACTGATTGTGTTATACCATAGAATTTTAAAAAGAATTCTATTTCTATTTAATTTTAACAAAAATTAGCTGGGCTTGGTGGAGCACATCTGTAATCCCAGCTACTCGGGAGGCTGAGGGAGGAGAATCACTTGAACCTGGGAAGCAGAGGTAGGAGTAAGCCGAGATTGTGCCACTGCATGCCAGCCTGGGGGACAAAAGTAAAACTCCTTCTCTGGCTGGGTGTGGTGGCTCATGCCTGTAATCCCAGCACTTTGGGAGGCCAAGGCGGGCAGATCACCTGGGGCCGGGAGTTCAAGACCAGTCTGACCAACATGAAGAAACCCCATCTCTACTAAAAATACAAAATTAGCTCAGCGTGGTGGCGCACGCCTGTAATCTCAGCTACTCAGGAGGCTGAGGCAGGAGAATTGCTTGAACCCAGGAGGTGGAGGTTGTGGTGAGCCGAGATCACGCCATTGCACTCCAGCCTGGGCAACAAGATCAAAACTTCATCTCAAAAAGAAAAGAAAAACTCCACCTCAAAAAAAAAAAAAAAATCCATAAGGTATAACTGGTGGGGTTTGGACTTCTAATGAATGATGGCTATTGCAAATTTGAGGACTTTTTTTTTTGAGATGGAATCTTGCTCTGTCACCCAGGAGTCTTGCTCTGTCACCCAGGCTGGAGTACAGTGGTGCAATGTCAGCTCACTGCAACCTCCGCCTCCTGGGTTCAAGTGATTTTCCTGCCTCAGTCTCCTGAGTAGCTGGGACTACAGGCGTGTGCCACCATGCCTGACTAATTTTTGTATTTTTAGTAGAGATGGAGTTTCATCTTGTTGGCCAGGATGATCTCGATCTCTTGACCTCGTGATCTGCCTGCTTTGGCCTCCTAAAGTGCTGGGATTGCAGGCGTGTGCCACCATGTCTGGCCTTAGGACTCTTTATATATATTTCTTGAAGCTGCCCAGGGTCTGCTGAACTTTTTACCCCAGGGTTTAGGCTGTGAAAAAGAAATGTATGTTTTCTGCAGGGGGAATACTATATTGGCAAGGTACAGTTTGCTGTTTCTGTGGGCTTTGCTTTGTTTAAAATGGAAAATACTCTGGTTAGGCACAGTGGCTTACACCTGTAATCCCAGCACTTGGGGAAGCTGAGGCAGGTGGATCACAAGGTCAGGAGATCGAGACCATCCTGGCTAGCACAGTGAAACCCCATCTCTACTAAAAATACAGAAATTAGCTGGGTATGGGCCGGGCGCGGTGGCTCAAGCCTGTAATCCCAGCACTTTGGGAGGCCAAGGCGGGTGGATCACGAGGTCAAGAGATCGAGACCATCCTGGTCAACATGGTGAAACCCCGTCTCTAC